ATGTAAGTATATAAACATATAATACATTATTTATTAAACTAGCTGGACCCTGTGCTTCGTTGTGGCACATTCTGGTTATAGTGATCAAAAATGAAGAATAAAACTGACACTAAAAATACATAAAACAATCTTTAAAGCGGGATGTTTATTCTGTCAAAATTTGAGCTCCATCGGTGCAGAACTTTTTGGGTTTTTGAAGCGATCACAAATGAACTTAACATTTTTAAATAGATGTCCTAACCTTAGAGATTTCTGCGTAACAACTGCGGTTAAACTAAATAAGATAAAATAGAATAGCTAAAACTCTCAATCGGATGTTATTGGATTAAGATAAAACACTAATAATATAAGATATTGTTAATACTGTAGTAAGATATTGTTAATTCAGTAATAACCCGAATGATCTTTAATTGCCCGATAATGAATTAAATTGTACACATAATCCAGTATGATATAAATTCTTATCTAGTGAATTTATATTTGTGGGTTTATAAAGGCCGATTAAACCATTCGATTGTAGACGTCATGTGATCTCTAACTTCTGTTCTATACTTATTTTGTAGTGTCTATAACTATCTCTAATTTTAAGTACACCAAGCAACTCTAGATTAGAACCAAGTTTTGAACGGATTGCTGATTTTAATTATTCAAATGAGGATTAAACAGAAATGAAGATTAGTCCTGATGACGTCCCGTTTCGTAATCTTACTATATATCTATTTAGTAGACATCACCTTAGTTACAGTTGACTTTTTAAATCACTAACGTCATCTCTATGGCCTTGGCATTTCAGAATTGACTAAATCACTAAGTGGTTAAGTCTACCTTTTAGGTAGATCGGATTTAATATCAAAGAGAAGGAAAACTTGACACAATCCATAGGGTTTGTGTCAAGTTTTCCTTCTCTTTGATATTGGGTATAGACCCGTCTGGCCAACGTGGTATAGTAGGCCAAAACGTCCTTTCTAAGGAGAGGCATATGTCCAGCAGTGGACTATTGAAGGCTGTTGATGATGATGATGATGAAGGAGAGGTTTATGACCAGCAGTGGACTATTAAAGTCTGTTGATGACGATTTTTACTTGATTTTTAGTTTCTTTGTGTATGTTGTTCTTAACTTTTGTTTTTTTTTTGTATGCTGTGCTTTATGAAATATATATTATTTTATTCTGTTCTATGTTGATGATGATGGACTTAATACCCTAACCCCTTTTTTATATACGTGTGGAAACCCTCTCGGAACTTCACCCTACCGGGGTTTACGATAAGGCGCTGTGTCGTCGCACCGACTAAAACCACACGGTGTCCCTTCCCGCGCCTTAAATTGGAAGGATCCGGGCAGCTATTAGGATACCCGGACCCCTCCGGTCGACCTAAACTGTTTAGTTTTCTTAACCACTTGATTGTTAACTAGTTATTTGACATCAGAGTATTCTTTTTTTAAATTGATGCGTCTCGACGAAGCCGTATTTAATAGCTTTAGGGCTTTCACTAGTTTTACCACAAATCGGATTAAAAAACCTGCTATATGATACGAAGTAACCTGATCCGACAAAAATAGACACGAGTAGAACTAGTCGGCCTTGATATATGTTAGTCTTAATAATTGTTAGTAGTTAATAATTGTTGTTGCAAGAGAGGACCCGCGCTGCTCTGCTGCATTAAATTTAAATGTAACCTATACACCCTTTAAATGTACAAAAACCCAAATGAAAAAACTCTTTTCAGTATGTGTACCGGTACCTGAATTGGAACTAGAGATGGAGATACAAGGAAAGAAGAGTTATAAAAACAAAACATATTGTAATGTATGTTCTCCTATATATTTAGAGGAAAAAATCACGGTTGAGTAGGGTAAACTTGAGAAGGGTAAAAGTTAGACAATTTTCGATGTGTTTGATAAATCTGTGTATAGACATATTTAATTAAAAAACCGGACGAGTGCGAGCCCGACTCGCCCACCGAGGGTTCCGTACAATTTCAATTATAAAACACAATAATTAAATATATATATAGTCTTATTGTGTTTTATTAGTGAAATTTGACCTCGATGATTACGTACTTAAAATAAAGACTATGTTTTTGTGATTTAATTACAAATGTATAGTTTTCAGATTTTTACCTGTACTAGTAGTACAAGACAATGTTACTTGACAATTTCATAGTTGTAAGTCAACGAGAAGCACCCTATACATTTTGATTCCCTTCAGAGCGTCAATTTTTTTTACGTTAAATTAGAAGTTTGATTTTTTCACAACTTCAAGGTACTGTAGATCTGAGTTTTAATTTTAACTCGATACCTACACGCGTTCATGAGATGAAGGGTCTTGATAGATAGACAGACGGACAACAAAGTGATCCTATAAGGGCAATGTACCACAGTGGTTTACTCGTAGGTAGTTTCTCCGGGAATGTAATCGTTTTTATTCGGGATTGGGACAAATAGAAAAGAGAGAAAGAAACGAGGAAAACTGGAATGAAATTACAGAACCTAGAAGTCTGGAGTGATGTACCCGTATGTCAGTCCTATAATTGGAGAGGCCGTAACTGACCAATGCTCATATAATCTACGTTTTTTATTTGTAATATGTTTTTAGAAGCGTCGATTTCTTTATTATCGTTATTCTGTATTTTCTGTATTTTTTTCAGTTAAGTTTTATACTTTATGAACATTTATAGCGAGAATAACACTCTCTCTTAAATTTAAATAAAATACTTAAGGCAAAATCAATATTGTCATCACTCCCGATATTATAAATTCACGAGTGTCTAATAACTCTACTGTCAATTGATTCATAAGTAATTACGCACAATGATTCTACCAGAAAGCCGCCTTTTGACAGAACGGAACGCAGGCAGTTCTATAAATTCTCATTTCTCTAACTGTATTTACTTATGTTAATTCTCTTGGCTTTGATTTTCAGAATGTTGACACAAATTCTAAATAGTATTATAAATGTGACTAGTAGTGTGTTAATCAGCAATCTTGTTACTATAACACAGGCTCTGCCTAGTTTGGACTAGACTAGACTGTCGTGTGTCTTTTTTTAAGAATATTTTTTCTTCAACCTAGTCTTGTGTCCACGCATAAAAAATAAAACTTTTTTTTTTACGTGTTTCTCTAAGGTAGAGAAAAAGACATAAGGCCTACCTACTTCTACCTACTTCTTCTTTTTTGTCCTTCTTCAATACAAAATGTATATATTACAACCATTATCCGTGTGGTGACGGATTAAGAATACAGAGTGTCACCAACCCTATTCATCCCGTGGGTGTCGTAAGAGGCGACTAAGGGAGTAAACTACGCAGGACAACAGCACTACAAGGAAAAGGAAAACTTGACACAAACCCTGTAAAAACCCGTCTGGTCAACGTGGTATAGTAGAACAAAACCTCCTTTCTAAGGAGAGAACTATGTCCAGCAGTGAACTATTAAAGGTTGTTGATGAGACTTTACAACACTAAATATTTATTTATTTTTATGTAAGAAATAGTCCCACCGTTTTGTCCCAAAAAGTAGCGGTAAGTCGCTTAACCTTAACCCGTGACCCTAAATAACAAGTATTTTAATATATTTTATTTATAACGAATCTATACAAATAAATAAAATTTAAGTGTGCATTCGTTCGTATTGTTCGTAATGTCAAAACTTTTTTATATAATAGACGTTGTATAATAGACTTTTATGCTCACACGGTTATTTGCACGATACCTCTGCTAAAACCAGTTTAAATATTATTTGTCTTTCTGTCTGTTTGTTCCGGGTAATCTTGAAAACGGCTGGACCGTTTTTGATGATATTTCACAGCCAGGTAGCTATGGAGTCTATGGAGTAATATGTAATAAGTAATATGGGTAGTCTATGGAGTAATTTAGGCTGTTTCTTCTTTGAAAAACCCTATAAAATTTTGACCGATCCGGGAATCAAACCGCTGGGACTGCAGTCGCGTACCTTACTACACTACCAAGGTAGCGCTTTTCAAATTCAAGTCACGAGTACCAGATAGTTCCTTAATACCTAGCTTACCTTCTGAGTCACAGTCTCAACTAGTTCAGAAGGTACAGATATATTGCTAAAAATAGCCTAAAATGTATTAAATGGAAGCAAATTTAGTTGTACACTTAGGTTTGGACATGTGTCAATTGTTTGGGCTTATAACTACAATAAAGAAATTTGAATTTTGAATAAATCTAAACTCGAGCTATTTCTTTTAAGCAATTTCCTTTTCCTTTTTTGGCATCGATGGTAACTCAAGCTGCAAAATTGACAAAAGTGTTGTGTTATTGTCAAAATAAACGGTCCTTTCTTTCTATTCTAATTTTTCCTATCGTTGTAACCTAATTTTCCTTCTGATAAACTTCCAAAGGATGGAAATTGGAAGATGGAAGATGTAACAGCATCCTGGCCAGTCCTTTAACAGATACAGCTAAGGCTATTTGTACTGTGTATTTTAAATATTTAAGTTTGGTTGAAAACGAAACATGGCTGTGATGGAGCGACATGGTCGTAATTATGGCTAAGCCTCGTAAATAAAGATTTAAAAAAGTTTTCATACCTGTAGAGTAGACTCATACCTGAGTAAACTCCAAAACAAAATTGCCAATGTTACCATTTAATTCCTAAAGCGTCCGGTTGCAGGAATACGCTTGCCAGCTATTACGTAATAAAGACTTATAGTTATAGTGTTGAAAATGTTAGTGTTTTATGCCTCTGCCTATCATAGACGTGGGAGAGCCATGCTGCAGCATAAATGGGTCATACCGGAGTAATACCACGACCTCACAGGAAACTAGTGTCCTGTTCGGAGAAGCCCCCCCACCCTTACTAAAAGTCTGACTCAAAGATCGTCTGCTCGTTTTGCCCCTACACCATGAACAAAATTCTCTCAGGGATTTAGCCGTGAATGTAGATATAAATCTACAACTCTACATTCATTGTAAAATAACTGCGTGAAAATGTTATGTTAATGCTAACTGTGTACCTACTCTTAATTTTTCAGATATTATGGCGTTGAAGTTCCCTCACGAAATAAAAAACGTTACAGACGAAGAGGATAAACTTATAAAGAAATATTATAAAGGTACAATTTAACATGTTTTTAAAATATAAATTTAAAATCTAAGAATATAGTATACTGGGACTTATTGCCGAACTATAAATACATGTTTAATAATGTATATTGTAGAAATTACGCATAGTTGACATTTGTGTAAATGACCAACCAGAAATCGAACCAGAACCTCACAACTTGCAGTTAAATACTAGATATTACTAATGAGTGTTCTTTAATTTATTACAGATTATATAAGGCCCTTCATCCGCGTGGGGCCTGCGGGGTACATATCACCGGCAGGCTACGGCGAACACGCTTCAGAAATCTATAACCTGGAGGTCAGACCTGACGATATTTGGATCACCCCGTTCTCCCGATCAGGTTAATATTAATGTCTAACAGAAATATTTATTCAGGAAAAGAATAATAATAACTTAACACATCTCATACACGTTCTAACTAGGCAGAACCTGTACTCACTGCTTGGTCCGAATGTCTTAATAACAGCAGTTGCGAGATCTCTCCTATCACAGGCGCAGAGTGGCACACCGTGTGGTTTTAGTCGGTCCAATTGTGACACATAACCCTGTCGCAAACCTCGGTAGGTGATGAGCCGAGGGGTTTCGAATAGGACCTAAATCAATTTTTAAATCGGTTAAAAATTCTGATTCTCACACACCAAGTTTCAAATGGTCCTTCCATATTGTCCCTCGTCAGAGAACCGTGACTTTTTGATATACAAATCTTTTACAAGAACAACTAATTTAAGATGCAACGATCAAATAAAACGACTGTACGAATTGCGTAGTGGTTTAAACGGTCACCTCGCCGCTTCCTACTGCGCTAAGTGTTGTGGGTTTGATCCCCACATGGAGCAATATCTTGTGTGATCCACAATATGTTCTATTCAGTTCTAAATCTGGGTGTTCTTTGTGTCCGTTTTATAAAAAAAAATTAAATTCCTAGTGCGGGAATTGTTGAAAAAAAAAGAAAAACTGGAACTAAAAATGGTTTAGAATTAAGTAAGCTCTCAAATTGGACGTAATAATTTCTTATACGACTTTTGCAGGAACCACATGGGTCCAGGAATTAGTGTGGCTTGTGACAAACAACCTTGATTTCGAGACCGCACGCTCTGTCCCGCTCGTCAAGAGATACGCATTCATAGAGTAAGTAGCCTAAAAAATGTAAAACAGTTTTTTTTTAAGAATAACTTCCGTACTTAATAAATAGGCTCTTATTTAAAAAAAAAATCAAGTTCAACTACTGTTATGTATTGTATTATTATCATGTTAAAAGTATGTAGCGCCAGTTGTTTAGAACAGTTAGGAGAAGTGACGAAAATATTGTGTGCAAAAAAAAATGGCGCACAAGTGACGCGTAGGTTGGGATTAGTTTTTCTTAATAGTTGTTTATTAATAAGGTTTCTATTGATTTCATATTTTCAATATCAAGCATTTCGTTTAACCACTTTCTAGTTCGTATAAACTTTCGTACCTAGATAAATGTAGGTATCTCTTTACCGTTTACTCGATTGCAATTTTACCTGCCAGCATATTCATCCAGTATACAATATAATTATGTCGTTGTCGCGTTTCCACTATCAATATAATTGTAGTAACTAATTTATGTCTTAAACTAGCTGTGCCCACCGCTCTGCTCACTTTAATAATTTAGTTAATTAATATTATAACATTAAAATAATAAAATAGTTTTATAAATAAAAATCAACAAGCGGAGCCGAGTGCACAACATAGTTGACGCATGCGAAACCTATTGCCGCTTACGTACAGTGGCTACGGGGTTCGCATGGCCCGGTGCAGCACGCGGTCCGTCGCCGCGGGCGCATTTTTTAGTCTGAGACCGGCATCGACGGGAGATGCATATCCCCTGGCGTTCCGCTTCGCCTATCGCGTTTGCCTGTTTTAATTCCTAAGCTTTCAAATTATTCTGCTTATGCTTGACGCTTGTGCTTATTGTTTTATTATAGTGTGTGACAGAACTGTAGAACAATTAATAAACATTGTTGTTTGTGCAAAAAGTGATTTTTTATCGAGAATCCACCTACCGGTAACCACACCTATATTGGTGACCCCGAAGAAGAAAAATACGCAAGACTATGAGTAAGGGTAAGAACGACGCGGCAGCGACCGGCGAAAGTTCCGGAACATACGTGCGTACACCCGGCAACGCAGGTTCTGACGATGCGCTCGGTGATCGGGGCGTGTTTAAAGTTGGCGTCAGAATACCTCCTTTCTGGCCAGAAGAACCAGCACTATGGTTTGCGCAAATGGAAGGACAGTTCGTCCTATCAGGTATTACTACAGACAGTACCAAATTTTATTACGTAGTGTCTCAGCTAGAAAATAGGTACGCCATTGAAGTGAAAGACATTATTAACTCACCCCCGACTGAAAATAAATACCTCAAGTTAAAGACTGAGTTAATAAGACGCCTCTCAGCTTCTCAAGAAAAAAAAAGTACAACAGCTGTTAATGCATGAGGAGCTTGGCGACCGCAAGCCGTCACAATTCTGGCGACATCTCCGCACCTTAGCTGGTCCTACTGTACCAGATTCGTTTCTGTGTACCTTGTGGTCGAGCAGATTACCACAAAATATACAAACTGTAATAGCGTCGCAGCCTAACTTACCTATAGATTCTGTTGCAGATTTAGCCGATAGGGTGTACGAGATCGCGCCTCCTGGACCAGCCGTGGCTATGGTATCAAGGATTGACAACAGTGCTAGCAGTGGTCCGCTGAATGAACTAGCGAGGCAAGTAGCGGAGCTGACGCGAGAATTCGCTGCATTTAAAGGTCAGGTAAATTCCATTTCCCCAGCATATCGCGGTCGTAGCAGGGATAGAAAGCCTAACCCCGATCGCTGGCGTTCCCGATCGAAATCTAAGCCACGCATCGATGGATACTGCTGGTACCATAACCGTTTCGGCAACAAGGCTAACAGGTGTACAACGCCTTGTTCGTACTCGGGAAACAGCAACGGCAGCCGGAAGTAGCGGCTAGCGACTGCCTTGTAAATCCAAGCCGCTTTTTTATTACCGACCGTACCACTAAAATGTTATTTTTAATAGACACAGGATCGGACCTGTGCGTATTCCCGAGGGCAGTCCTACGCCAGCGACGCAGCAGGACCGACTACCAATTACATGCAGCAAATGGTACTTTGATAAACACCTACGGCTGGATTCAATTCACCCTAAATTTAGGACTGCGACGCGACTTTCCTTGGCGATTCGTGGTAGCAGACGTTTCCAAACCAATCATAGGCGCTGACTTCCTGGCACACTATAACCTCCTTGTAGATATGAGGAACCACCGCCTGATTGATGGTCTAACGAGGCTGTCTGCAATAGCATCACCGGCAACGAAGTCAATACAGCAGATCGCTTCAGTAAAAGCAGTGACTGGTAACTCATGTTACCACCAGCTGTTACGTGAGTACCCAGACATTACCAGGCCCGCTGGTACCCAGCGCCAGGTAAAGCATGGAACAGTACACCATATTCGTACATCGCCTGGCCCTCCAGTATCAAGCCGCCCCCGTCGCCTGCCGCCAGATAAATTGAAGATCGCCCAGAAAGAGTTTGCTGAAATGCTAGAAAATGGAACAGCTCGCAGATCGGAGAGTCCTTGGTCATCTCCATTACACTTGACACCTAAAAAAGATGCTGGATGGCGCCCCTGTGGTGATTACAGAGCCTTGAATGCGAGAACCGTACCAGATAAGTACCCGATCCCACACGTCCAGGACTTTGCCTACCAGCTAGCAGGCACAAAGGTATATTCAAAGATAGATCTGATAAAGGCTTTTAATCAGATTCCCACCAATCCAGCTGATATAATGAAAACTGCAATAACCACGCCGTTTGGTTTATTTGAGTTCCCTTATATGACTTTCGGGCTACGCAATGCAGCGCAAACATTTCAGCGGTTTATAGATGAAGTCTTAAGGGAACTCCCTTTTTGTTACGGGTATATAGATGACATTTTAGTGTTCTCAGATTCTGAAATTCAGCATATCCAGCACCTACGACAGCTGTTCCAGCGGCTGGCAGAATATGGTATGTTGATTAACGCAGCAAAGTGTGAATTTGGCCAATCGACAATCACATTCCTAGGCCACGAAGTGTCTTCAAAAGGCGTTCGCCCGCTACCTGAAAAAGTCAAGGTAATTCAGACATTTCCTATACCTAAGACAGTGAAAGAAATGCGTCGATTCCTTGGTATGTATAATTTTTATCGAAGATTCGTTCCTGAAGCAGCAAATACACAGGCGCCTCTGAACATCTTTCTAACAGGCCCTAAGAAAAAAGGCTCGCAGAGTATCATCATGTCGCCAGAGATGCTAGAAGCATTTAACGCCTGTAAGTCAAGTTTGTCTCAAGCTGCCATGCTAACACACCCGGAATCAAACGCTGAGTTAGCTATACACTGTGACGCATCTGACGTCTCGATTGGGGCAGTTCTCCAACAGAAGTCGGGTGACGATTGGAAACCACTAGCGTTCTTTTCCAGGCGTCTATCACCAGCTCAAAAGAAGTATAGCCCGTACGACCGAGAGCTCCTGGCCATATACAATGCTATAAGACACTTTAGGCATATGGTCGAAGCCAGGCACTTCACAGTGTATACTGACCACAAACCGTTGACGTACGTATTTTCATCGAACCGCGACCAATGTTCTCCCAGACAATTCAGATACCTCGATTACATCTCTCAGTTCACGACGGATATACAGTATGTGGCCGGAAAAGATAATATTGTAGCAGACGCTTTGTCTAGGATAGAAGCAGTGTCATCACCCATTAGTTATAAGGAACTCGCACGTTCGCAGTCAACAGATCCTGAGCTGCAAGCGTTACTACACGAAGGTAGCACACTCAAACTCAAACATATCAAGACTACAGATACCGACGACAGAATATATTGTGATATCTCTACAACTAACTGTCGACCCTTTGTTACAAAGCCATTCAGAAGACAAGTTTTTGAGTCACTTCATGGTTTAAGTCACCCAGGTACAAGGGCGACCGTAAAGCTTTTGACAGAACGTTTTGTCTGGCCTGGCATGAGGAAGGATTGCAGGCAATGGGCTAGAGAATGCCTAGAATGCCAAAAATGCAAGATCTCTAGACATACCCATTCCCCAGTCGCTACCTTTCCTGTTCCTACTCATCGTTTTTCCCATGTCCACATGGACATAGTAGGTCCTTTACCAATTTCGTGTGATTTCAGGTACTGCCTCACGGTCGTTGACCACTATACTCGATGGCCTGAGGCATATCCACTAACCGACATCGCTGCAGAGACATGCGCCCGTACCTTCATTGCTGGCTGGGTGTCTCGCTTCGGGTGTCCTCATCGCATCACTACCGACAGAGGAAGGCAGTTTGAATCAAAACTGTTTCACTCTCTGAGCCTAGTACTGGGAGCGCAGCACCGGCCCACAACGGCGTATCACCCTGCCTGCAATGGCATGGTGGAGCGCCTGCACCGTCAAATGAAGGCAGCAATCAAATGTCACGCCAACTCCAATTGGACTGAAGTTCTCCCGCTGGTTCTACTGGGTATCCGAAGCGCCTGGAAAGAAGACATCAAAGCTTCAGCTGCAGAGCTCGTATATGGTGAGCCGCTTCGCCTTCCAGGAGAATTCCTTAACCCTTCGCCCGCTGCCCTGGTCGACATCACCGACTTCGCGACACGCCTTCGACTACACATGTCGAAACTGTCACCGGAGCCCGCTAGCCGTCATGGAAGTAAGCCATTCTACATTCCAAGCAGCTTACCAACAGCAGAGTACGTGTTCCTACGGCAAGACGCTGTCCAACGTCCCCTTGACCCACCTTACACTGGCCCTTATAAGGTGCTGAAACGCGGCGTGAAGACCTTTAAGATCAACATAAACGGTCGCGAATCAACTGTCACTTTAGATAGACTGAAACCAGCTTATATGACCAGGGAAGACACGACCACATCCACCGAGGCACAGTCAGATGACATCGTGAAGAAGACCAAATCTGGACGAGCAGTACGGTTCCCGGATTACTATCGACCGTAGCGTAGCACCGGTCTCAGCGGGGGGGTAGTGTAGTAACTAATTTATGTCTTAAACTAGCTGTGCCCACCGCTCTGCTCACTTTAATAATTTAGTTAATTAATATTATAACATTAAAATAATAAAATAGTTTTATAAATAAAAATCAACAAGCGGAGCCGAGTGCACAACATAGTTGACGCATGCGAAACCTATTGCCGCTTACGTACAGTGGCTACGGGGTTCGCATGGCCCGGTGCAGCACGCGGTCCGTCGCCGCGGGCGCATTTTTTAGTCTGAGACCGGCATCGACGGGAGATGCATATCCCCTGGCGTTCCGCTTCGCCTATCGCGTTTGCCTGTTTTAATTCCTAAGCTTTCAAATTATTCTGCTTATGCTTGACGCTTGTGCTTATTGTTTTATTATAGTGTGTGACAGAACTGTAGAACAATTAATAAACATTGTTGTTTGTGCAAAAAGTGATTTTTTATCGAGAATCCACCTACCGGTAACCACACCTATATAATAAACAAATATATGTTATCTCATAAGCAAGCGTAAGAAAGTTGAGTGCAGATGAACTGTGTTATCAGTGTTTTTATCATTAAAAAATTGTTGGCAACACTTGTACTGCAGAAAATATAATATCTTTGTACTGATTAAACAAATAATTTACCTTTTTTTTTTTTTTTTTTTTTAACGTGTGGAAATCCCCTCGGACCGTCACCCCTCCGGGGTTTGCGGCGGGGTGGTGTGTCGGACTCGGACCGACTAAAACCACACGGTGTGCCACTCTGCGCCTGTAACAGGAGGGATCCGGGAACAGCTGTTGTTAAGACATCCGGACCCCTCCTAGCGCCAGCCCGCTCCTGGTGCGGGCTCCGTCTCAATGTGGATGTTCCTCTCTTTAGGCGACGTCCGGCACACGCGGACGCCGCCCCCTCGCGGCTGGCCAACTAATGCGGGTGGAGGGGAAACCCACCCCGTCCACCCGCGGCCACACTCAGGGCGGCATGAGGCTGTGGTAGGCGGGCCTCCGCCGCCCGGTTCGCCGGCGGCGGATCGGGTCCGAGTGGAGGTCGTCCTCCCGGGCCCTCTCCGGCCGCCTCCTTCCGCGAGATTACTACCTCGCAGAAGGTTGCGACCGCGGTAAAACAACTGTCGCTACCGGCCATGGAGCGTACTACGGCCGGTAGCGAGAGATCCACTCCGATGACTGCAGTGAGGGCCCGGCGCTGCGCCGCCCATGCGGGGCAGACCGCCAGCGTGTGCTGGGCCGAGTCCTCACTGCAGTCGCAGTGGTGGCAGGCGGGACTCAGTTCCCTCCTAGCGACCGTGTGCAGGTACTTTCCGAAGCAACCGTGCCCGGAAAGCACCTGCGTCAGTCGGAAGGAAAGGGTCCCGTGCTGCCGCCCTGCCCACTCGGCGATGACCGGCTGGAGAGCCTCCACGGCGGCGAAGCCAGCGCGTGGAGTCTCCAGCCGGAACGACCAACGAGCCATCGTGGCTCGGCGAGCGGCTTCGCGCCACTCGCGCACATCCTCGGGCGGAGGGCGAAATCCGCTCTCCGCCCGGAAGTCAGCCACTCGCCGATAAACTTCGGCGAGCACTTCCGCCTCCAAATCCCACGGGGGAGTTCCGGCCAACGCGCATGCCACCTCCGTAGAAACGGTGCGGTAACCGCGTATGGCTCTGACCGCCATTACCCTCTGAGGGCGCCAGAGGCGTACCCTATTCTGGGCGGTCAGAGCCGCCGCCCACACCGGTGCACCGTACAGCGCCATTGACCGGACAACCCCCGTGTACAGCCGTCTTGTCGCGACGCTGGGTCCACCCATATTGGGCAAGAGTCGCCCTAGGGCAGACGCAGCGCCGACCAGCTTTGGAGCAAGCTGTCGGAAGTGCTCGTCGAAGAGCCACCTCCCGTCGAGGATCAGGCCCAGATATTTCATCTGGGCCCGAACCGGTACGAGGACCGAGTTGACCACTATTGAGGCGCCAGGGGGTGGACCACGACGGGGCCCATGGAATAACAGGGCCTCCGTCTTATCTAGGGCCACCCGTAAGCCCAGCGCCTCAATGCGCCCGACCACCAGGGAGACTCCCCCTGTGGCCAGGCGCGCCGCCTCTTGGAAGTTTGCCCCCCGGGCTGTCACGAGGGTATCGTCTGCGTAACAGATTACACCCAGCCCGGGGGGGAAATCGGCGCGAAGGGCCCAGTCGTACCCTATGTTCCACAAGAGGGGTCCAAGAACAGACCCCTGTGGAACACCGCACGACATGGGCCGACACCTCAGATTACCTTCTCGGTCCTCGTACACGACGGTACGCTCCTCTAAATAGTCTGCCACCAGCCGCCTCAGGTACTTTGGCACCCCATGATAGTGGAGTGCTTCCCTGATGCAGCTGAATGGCAGACTATTGAATGCGTTGGCGATGTCTAATGACACCGCCAACAGCACGCCGCCACAGCTCACGGCCTCTTCGGTCACGGCCCTCAGGCGCAACACGGCGTCGACTGTCGAACGCCCCGCCCGAAAACCAAATTGGGCGTCCGACAGATCGGGGCCCACCTCGCAGAAACAAATAATTTACCTATGTTGTCCTCCCCGTGGAATTGGTCGTGCCGCCGCTGCGAGTTAAAAGTTTGGGCCGATAACTGGCGTGACAGGACGATGCAGGGACGGGGCGTCCTATGAGCGTCGTTCATTATATATTCTGTTCTAGCGGCTCTATATGACATCTTCTGTATTTGGTAGAGCATTACAACCTACTCATGCTACGTCGACGTCCCGTCACATTTCCTCATGTCATGTCACACTCGTACATTTTCTCTGCTCTCAGTCGCTTGCCGAGACCTCGACGACACACACAGAGAAGAACAGTCAATCCAAATCTCAAGTTCAGTCAGTTCGTCCTTGTTTGTTTACAGCAACATTTGTTTCAGATATCCAACTCTAAAAGCAGAGAATCGGGCAGATTTAAGCACGCCTGGGAACAGAGCGACCTACGAGGACTTCAAAACTGTGGCGAGTGTGAAATCGCCGCGATATCTCAAATCACATTTACCGTTGTCCTTGCTCCCACCACAACTTCTTGATACAGCCAAAGTAAGTCGGACAGACATTACAGTTCATATATGTTTTTGCTTAATCCTGTTGCATAATGCCATATTTTATTAAAAAACTGTTATCAACCAGGGGCACGGGTGGCGTAAGTGCAGAAAATATAAGAGTAAAAGTACCTTTCTTCTTTTAATTTTTTTTTTTATTTATTTATCTTCAACTTCACTTTATAAACATAACATTACATTCTTTGTCCCTCAAAACCGGGTTGATGGTTTGGCTGGAGGATCGATTCTCCGTACGTCTTATTTCAGTCATTTAAAAACTTTGTTTTTTAGTATTGTGTAGTAGTGCAGTAGGCACAACTGTATAAACTGAAATTGCTATTCTGAAGTTTTAAGATGATACCTCGCGGCAATTATACAAAAAATAGATAAATATACAAACATCCCATCATTATTTGATTAAATACACATCTATACCCACTTAATAAATCCTGAGAGTTCAATGTAGATTTGAAATACATATTTATTTGTCAATTAAGGTAATGGGCTGTTTAACACCACCCTACAAAAAACTGAATGTTATATTAGTATGGTAACTCTTGGTTTGTCTCTGCTGTTATAGGTGATCTACGTCGCTCGGGATCCTAGAGATGTGGCGGTGTCGTTCCATTTCGCACACATACTATTCCACTATTTCGACAAAAGCATGGAGTTCAAGGAGTTCTGGAACCTCTTCCGGAAAGATTTGAGTAAGTTATTAACTTATTACTAATACTTTTAAGAAACTTTTGTTCGTGGTGTGAGTGATCATTGAATGAATATATCGAATTATACACGGTAGAGTCACAATTTTTTGAAATCAATTGCAATAAACACAATAATCTGTAATGTAGATTTTTATTTTGCTAACATTCTGTTTTTCATTGTTGGTCTTTCAGTTATTTCTTTTTAAGTGCGTTCCATTTACTGTCAAGTTTTTTACACATTATGTCAAACCTTTTTTTTTCAGTCTTGCGCACTCCTATTTTTCCCCACATAATAGAAGCATGGGAAAAGCGCAATCACCCGAACATGATGTTTTTGTTTTACGAAGAAATGCAAAATGTAAGGAATTTGTAAATAAGAGTATTATAAACAAATGCGTTATTTAGTTAAAGACTAATGGAACACAATCAACAAGCTTATTAAGAACGAGGTACTTTTAATACCAATAATAATAATACGGTATCGGACTGTCAACGCAGTTCGCCTTTACTACACTTGCATAATAACGGACTATGACGTCATAGTCCTCTATTGTCAAAACAGTCACTTTCAATGTTTGTTTTTTCTTAGTTTGTTTGCAAGAATATCGACGTAATAAAAAAAATATCTTTACTGTTTTAGGGTGGATAGAGATGCAACACCAATTTTGCTCTTATATTCGTTAAACATAGACACGGTCATGATTTGTTTGAGAGAAAATACTAGCATAAATTATAAATTCATTGGCAATCTACATTCAATATAATTTTTCGTTCCATTGGTTGTTTTTTGCTGATCGGCAACATGTAACCTAAAGAAATGTTTAAGGACCTTCGCAGCGTCGTAGAGCGGGTCTGCAAGTTTCTGGGCAAGGAATACAGTGACGAGCAAAAGCAGAAGTTAGTTGAACACCTCAACTTCAGCAACATGAAGAAAACCCGTGTGGTTAGCACTGAAGAAGGTGGAGACAGCGAGCTAACTTTTTTCAGAAAAGGTGAGAGAAAGATCTAGGCGGTTAAGTGAATTATTTGAAGTGACTTGCTGCCGGTCTGAGCGTAATCTGTTACGCCGACGACATATTGGTCACAGAGCAGAATTTCAAGCAGACGCAAAAAAGGCACTGATGAACATTAGCCCATAAATATAAAAATCTTAAAAGACAATCGGTCTGACAGTTCAATTTGTCGAAACATTACATTGTATATAGGTATGTGTGCTATTGATAATTACTCAGTCTAACGATTCAGTATCAGCAAAATTCCTGTCCGTGTGGTGATGGACTATGAATACAGAGTGCCACCACCCCTATTCATCCCGTCGGTGTCGTAAGAGCCGACTAAGGGAGCAAAATACGCAGGAGAACAGCACTGCAAAGAGAAGGAAAACTTCACAAAAATCCTATGCCAACCCGTCTGGGCAGCGTGATACAGTAGGCCACAACCTCATTTCTAAAGAGAGGCCTATGTAAAGCAGTTCACTAGTAAAGGCTGTTGATAATGATGATGAAAATTTATTTACAATGTGTAGAAAATTAAGAAATGGAAAAACAATAATTGCCGAGTTCTTAACAATTGCATACTCATACAATGCGGCATAGGTATGTGCCTGGTAACGGATCCCTTTTACGTTCACGATTACTCGTGATAGAAGTATTTTACATTTTTTTCTGTTTCTACAGGTAAATCTGGCAATTGGGTTCAATACTTTGACGAGGAGATGCAAAAAGAAGCTGAAGAATTTATGGAAAAGAACCTTAAAGAGACTGATTTGCGATTCCCTGAAGTAAAATAAATTTATATAATATACTTACTTGCACATGTTTATAGCATTATATACTAATTTAATAAACATGTTTTTTGAATAACTTTTCATTTCATGCTGCATTTAGTTTGTGCCCACGATCGCAAATAACACATAGATACATAAATTATGTGTTACATGTATGACAGCGGAGCCAAAAGATATTAATAACCAGTGATCGCAAGACTCTCTCAACGAGAAATGATAGTTGCGTGTGTTGTTTCGACAGCACTCATTATTTGAGTTGTACAGTACGTAGGTACTGTGGCGACTTCCACATACAATGAAACAAAAAAAACATACTACAGCGCCATCTACCGAAGGCACACCGAACTACGGAGTGATTGCAACTCCTGTATCGCAATATAAGAAGTTCACACGCTAATTAGCATATATATCACTTCCCGTTATCAACAGCTGGGCCGCGCCCCCCAGGCATGAACATTTAGCGTGATCGGAGGATACTTACCTTGTGTTTTAGGGACTTGCATAATACCCATTTTTTCACAATACCATTGGATTTGTGAACTAAAGATGTTCTACTAGAACTTGTCTTGTAACGAAGCCAAGGCACTTGATTTATCTGCCCTATGACACTGCCTCTTAAGTAGACATAGGCGCAAAAATGGATGCTTAAGTAGTAGACGTGGAAATTATAGCTACTTTCAAACCATATTCATGTGATGAAATGATTGCGATTTCACGTGTGATACAGATTTCTTTATGGACACAAAGATAGGTGGCATTAAAATCAATCAAAATTCTTCTCATAAAAGATTACGACCTTTTTTTTAGTTTTAGACCTCCCGCGAGTCTAGCATTAGCGTACTAATAATAATTAGGTAGCAGTGGTTATGTAAATCATCAATCAATTGTAAATCAGTACCCCATGTGATTATGATTTTATTGCATCCTTATTAATTAGTATGTCGGATGAATTGATATGTCCGTAATGAGACCTAATTGTGAAACTCCCTTTCTATTAGAAGAGATAAAAAGTTTTCATTACAAAAACCTTTAGGGTATATTTTCTAGTAAGTGTAACAGATATATTTTGGTGTCAGCCAATGGTTCACCAATGTATTTAACTTTAATAATAGAGAATAATAAAGAAATAAATAAGTACTAAGATTGTGACTACTGAGTCGCAGGCGTTCATGAACAACGCGGTTTATTACTTTCCATCAGGTTACCAGACTCGTTTATTCCCGGAATCATAAACTAAAATTACTTTTTGTAGATCTTTTTTAATAGCTCTGTACCAGTTTCTAACTACATATGTTGTCAATACTGCATTTATTTATTATCTTATTAAGAAGCTACATTTTATTTTATTGTTACTCACTAGTGAGTAACAATAGGAATCACTAACAATAGTCCAACAGAGGGGTTTTTTTGTTGACGGGATGGAAAATTCCTTCGGATCTCCGGCTCTTCTGGGACGCAGGAGCCAGGAGTATGTGGTGTTCCCACTTGAGACCAGTCCCAGGCGCCCTGCTCTGGGGAGGACCCGGACCAAGTTATTTCAGTTCCCCCCCCCCCCCTATCGACGCCGCGCCTGGCCAGGCCCTATCCCAGGGAAAGACTTCCTCCCGCCTATCGGCCCAATCAATGTGTGTTGCGGCATGCCTGCGACCACCAGAGGGCCTAGTGTGAGTTTATTTCACATCAACTCGCTCTCGACGTCGAGCGCGATCGGCGTTGCGATTGGTGAAGATTTCCGTGCGGGCCAGTCGCGGTCACCGTGACGATCTAGTAGATGTAAAACAGACTCGCACTAGGTCCTCAGTTCTGTTAAATTTAAAGACTATCAGCGCGGTGCTACGGTGCCCGGGTTGCTTATGTTAAGGATGTAAGAAAATATATTTTTTCTATTTTTAATCCATTTATTATTTTCATTGTAAACTCATACACTTGTTCTATCATCAACCGTTTATAATTTACGTTATACACGTCATACATCACGAGATGAGACTTAAACACTAAAGCGCTTTATACCTTGTAAGAGATGTCCACTGTTCATAAAATTAAACGAAGTATAATAAATAACTATAGTTTAATAACATATATTATCAATATCGTCAACATTTTTAAAAATTACTGTAAAATGAACGAATTATAAATTAACTGTGGTAAATAATAAATTCCTGACAAAGGCAAGCGTCTACACTCGACCAATTATTTAAAAAAAACAACAACTGCTAATTTATAATTTATGTTTTTCCTGTTTTTTTTTCATTTACTATAATTTCATAAACCAAACAAGGAATATCTCTTACAGCGCATAAAGGGTCAAACGCATTTACTATAATATACTCGGGCGCACCATAATTGACTTGAAAAGCAAAACAATCAATTAAGCGAATATATAAAAAAATATCTCAAAACAAAAACATGTAACTCACCAGGTTTATGTAACATAAATTATGGCACTTCTTAATAAAGGAAACATTAGAACCAATTAAAAATCTTTACTTAAATAATCATGAAATTTCATAAATCGTTTATATCTGTAGACAGTCTACTTAGAGAATGCAAAATAAATATCTAATCTTATATTTATCAATGTTCAATCCTATGACATCCTCAAAATGTCAGAATTAAATCAATTAATTTAAAAAAAATGTATTTTATAGCTGAAATACAATACCTAATATGATAAATAATATTACCGCACTAAGGTAACTTTCTGTTGTTGGCAAAATTTAAATCAAATGTAGCAATGTCCTTGGTTGCTAAACAAAACCGGGGTGAAGGTTGGGAACAACTTGTTTTGTTCACTCCAAGAGAAGACTGCATCATTGGTGCCGATTCTGTAGTTCACTTCACTAAACTAGAATTTCTCTAAACCTCTCTTATTTTATTTAAACGATGTATGTAGGTGTGTTGTCACATATTATTTAAAGTTATAAAATAGTTAGAAAAGTGTTGCCGTTGCTAAAAATTTAATATGAGAAAGAGTAAATTAATGAAATCATTAGGCCTATGTTTTAGAATACTAAACGTCAGGACTAAACTAACTTTAAGTGACCTAATATAGTATTGTAACCACAGAATTGACACCATTGTCAATCAGATTGACGTATAATGTCAAAAAAAAACATCCGACTGTCAATGGCTGATTTCTTCTCCTGAGCAAAACACAACCGTCCGGATATTGCCCGGTAAAAATGATCTCAAAAGTCCGTAACACATTTTACAACTGTCTAAGTGTTTATTATTAACGATTATAAATAGTGTGCAGTAATTACATTGAAAGATTTGTGTATTCTTACAGTGTAGAGATAGTATATTTTTGTTATTGCATATTTTATTTCATGTGAAACATTACACATAATAAATAGAACAACGTTTACGACACCTCATATTTACGCCGTAAAAAAGAGATATAAAAAATTCGTAGTGTCAATAGTGACCGTACAGCATACGCGTAGTTAACTCATAGACAAAGTAGACACGGGGCAAAGACATCTTGTGAGAAGCCTGACTGGGGAAAATAACATAATCTTGATTTTGTGAGCCTATTCTAACTTTTACCTCTTTTAAATAATGAAAAAGGTACTGGAGTGTGTATATTTCAAATTGAACAAAGAATTGAAAATAAAACTTTTTTTTACTTTTTTTTAAACATAACACCCATTTAATTTTAATGTGGACAGTAGAGGCGACACAATCTACTTTGTCTACGTGTCATTAAGATGTGTAAGGGACACGACACACGGGTATCGCTCTTCATTCCGATCCCAATAACTATGATTATAATCCTAAATCGATTGTTTTGTCTAATGGCCAATGATTTTATTAATTATTTTCTCGTCTACTGGGACCGTATAAAGATATTTCAGTAACCGCAGTTACTTAACAAACTCGAAACTTACTCCTAACTATACCTTATAAAATACTTAAGTTAAATTATGCATTATCTTTGGCGAATACACTGTTTATGGTACCGTGAAACGTGTGAAACTTAAAAATATTGAACATTAAAAGTTACTTATGAACGTCGTTGTAAAGTCTCACAAAAAATTTCTATTTAATACTGAGATACAAAACTGTTCGCTATATAGAATAAAAAATGGTACCATAACTTACACAACTACATAGTTTAATATAGATACAACTAGTAAGATTATTGTGGAAATATAGTTTTAAAAATAATTTTATTTTAACGACACACCAGTTAGTTTAGACCACTCATAAAATTGAATAATTCATCGACTCTGAAGCTGTAATTTTTTACGGGATCAATATCGATATGGTGTTTAGATTAATTAATCATTTTGGTTCAGTTACGAATCTAGATTGTTCGACAACGAGTTCATCGCTAATGGAAGTTATGGAGCGTGGAAAACGTTAAGTCAGACTTCTACTGACTAGAATATATACATTTGTAGGATAGTTATCATTTCCATGGTGAGGTAGTGGTCAGAACAGATTAATAAGTCACTTCCTAACAGTGATTTTCTTCGTGTTTTTGACTATAGAGTTGTGAAGTTTGAGCATTGGTGTTCAAGAAAGTTTATGGTAAAATAATATTATTTTCAAAAATATAGTCCTCCAATAAATATTAAATAGTTACATTTTGTGGTGTTTATAGCGAGAGCAGTATTTTCTCTTCAATATTATCTATTAGCTACATATTCCGATTAAATTTGTTCATGGCAGTTATCATTTGCACCATATTTACAAATAACTAATACATTTGTTCAATATAAACGGTGTTCTAACAATTCCACATCTTACTAATTTCACACACGATGGAATGCTTATTCTTTATTATTTTATTTACAATTAATTATTTAGCTGTAAATAAAATAAAAATGTATACGATTTCAAAATTAAATAGCCCTAACTTATATGTACATTAGGTCCATGTAAAATCAGTTAAATTTTGAGCTTAAATACGAAACAAAAAATATATCGAGATTCCTGATTAGAATTAAAACAACAAAAAGTTATAATGGAAAAAAATATACATAAAACCATTTATAATTGTTATCTATAAAGTGTCTATGTACAGGCTTATGTTATAAAGAGATATACAATGCAATAAAATTTCTACTTTCGGGCTCCGAGCCATACCTACTGCCTTCTTATAACACGAGAAACGCAAACAGTTTGGCGATTTCCCATTTCTTCCCAATATTTCCCAATAGTTTGGCTTTCCATGTTCCCTTAAGATATCGCTAAGAAGCGTTAATGAGTTATGACAGAAAGTTAGACCATTGGTGATTATTTTCTTAAACCTATTTTGAGCTATATAAACCCGAATTCTTAAACAAAGTCTTGATCAAACAGCAGTCGTCGCTATACATTTTCTTGTGAAATCATCAACAAAATTGTTATAAAACATTGGTCGCTAACATTCGCTAACACAGCCTTATAGAATTTAAACAGTACATTTAAATAAACACGTAAATATAAACGTCAGGTTTTGTTTAGATTGCCGATAAAGAAAAAAAATGTAAATAATTCAAAAACAATAGGCCTCCAATATTTTTCATATTGCAAGTAGTAATTATTCGAATTTTTCATAATACATCTAAATATTTTGTGCTAAAATGATACCCTATAAAACGTCAAGACAACATAATGTATGCCAAAACTTTCTTTATGACATAATTAGACCAATATTCACAATAAATTACAATGTTTGAGCAATCACTCATCAGGTAGAAATTATTCGTTTAGTGTGACCGGTGCTCTCAAAATATTTTGACAAGAAAACGGTTTTTAATTTAAAAAAAACGACAGAGTCAGTCATATCAGCCTGTAACCATGAAATATACATTTTGTAACATAAGAACGTACACATGGAACTTAGGCAAATTCATGCTATTGTTTTTGTTGTTAATTTCTCATAAAATACTCTGACGGCACGGCAATTGGCGGTCAGTGTTCACGGTCGAGAATATAATTATATTTCAGTCGCATGAATGTTTTTGAAAGTCGAGAGTAAATATATCTAATTCGCTACGGAGACGGTGGCGAGCTCAACGTGTCAGCACGCGATCGTGGTAAGTTCGATACAAAACGTCGGGGGACGCGGGCTCGACGACTACAGCTCGGTGACGGCGTACAAGTCTCGCGCGTCAGGATGCGTGCGCTCGATACGGTCGGAGCGATCCGGTCTGTCACCCCGATCGGGGCGATCCGGGCGCTCGGGTCGGTCGCCTCGGTCAGGTCGGTCGCCGCGGTCAGGGCGGTCCGGGCGGTCGCCGCGGTCCGGGCGGTCTGAGCGGTCCGGGCGGTCCGGGCGGTCGCCACGGTCGGGGCGCTCGGCCCGGCGACGGTGCGCGGTGGCAGTGCCGGGCGGCGCGGCGCGGCGCGGCCTCTGCAGCGAGCGGTACTCGAGCGCGGCGGCGGACAGCGGCTGCGGCTCGGCGCGGCGCGGCGGGCGCACGGTGGCGTACTTGTCCTGCGGCGGGGGCGCGGGCGCGCCGAACGTGCCGAGCGACACGCCGCCGCCCTGGGGCCGCAGGCGCGGCGCGCGCGGCCCGAACGACGCGTACTTGGGGTCGAATCGATTGAGCGCGGCGGCGCGGGAGGCCGCGCCCGCCGCCGGTTCGAGCGCGTCGCCCGCCCCGCCGCCGGGCCTGTCTCAGTAGAAGTCGCTGCTCTCCAGCGTCTTGCACTGCTTGCTGAGCGTGGCGTACTTGCCGTTGTGCGGCGCGCGGCCGAGCGTGTGCGCGCCGCCCATCGCCGCGGCGGCGCCGCCCCCGCTCGCGCCGCGTCCCAGCGTCGCGCTGCCCGACATGCGCGACCTGAACACCGCGCCCTCGTTAAATCATCACGCGTATTCGAAAACATATCGATTAGTCGTGTAAAATGTATAATGGTTATTAATGATGGTCAACGAAAGCATGATACACTTTACGCCCGAATGCGTTACCTACTTTCTCACGAAACTTAACGATTACGGTAGGATGCAAAAAAAAAATCCAAACGCGGGTCGCCGTCGCGTCGGAGAGACAATTTACGCGAGCGAGTAAGTAGATAACGCGGCCGGACAGCGATGAAGGGTCCAACTTACGGCAGCTCCTCGCCGGTATATGTGTAAGTAAAGGTGTGAGTATACCGTGGCCTCTCCAGGTCCATGAGCTGCACGGCGGCTCCGTAGGAGGGCGGCTTGCCGTTGGGGAAGGGCGCGGGGCGCGGCAGCGTGCGGCTGGCCGCGCTGCTGGCGCCGCTCGACAGGAAGGGCGCCTGCTCCTCGCCGCCCGCCGACCGCCTGCGCACACGCAACACACCGCTTGCAACACTCCTCACCTCACCTTACTCACTACTTACTTTTACTTTATATTATTTAATTTTATATTTATAATTTGAACTTAACTACAACGAAAACAATAGTTTTAAAGAAAAAAGTAATTCACTGTTATAGCCAATCCTCATTGAAATGAAAAGGGAAAAATTAAGTACTATTAACAGTTGGGGGAGAGGGTCTATGAATATAGTAATAATAGTACTAACGAGGAACGAAGAAAGCGACAAGAACATCAATACAAGACTAAAAATCTGTCATAAGCTATACTTACTTAGTGTTGATGTAAATCCATGCGTGAGAGTCGACTAGCACTATAGCTGTGAATAGAAATCCAGCCACCACAGCCGCCAGCAGCTGTAGTGATAACGCCTGCAAAAGTAAAGGGAGTATTAAGCCTAGAATAAATAATAAAATCAATCAATAAGCCACACATTCGCTGAGAGCAAGCGCACATTTTAACTCGACTCACTCTTAATGTGTTACACACAAAGACTAAAATTGTTTGAAGAATAAGTATATAATGCATTTATATACTGTTGACATCAAAATGGTTCATATTCGTTATAGTATTCTAATTTTGTTTTGTAATTTCGTCGGGTTTGACGTTGTTTTTATATCTTAACAGAGAGCACGAGACAAGAAGATAATCTACAGCGATTAGTTTAAAGCTATAGAAAGGCGGACACACAAAATACGTGTAATTTTAATGAACTATTTATAGAGAAATAAAATCGATAAGATGTAATGGCTCGACAGTGAACTTATGAATTCACTTTATAAGGAATTGTCCATGTGGTGACGGACTAAGAATACGGAGTGTCACCGCCCATTCATCCCGTTGGTGACAGAATAACAGCTGCAAACATAAGTAAACTTGACACCACCCGTCTGGCCTGCGTGGTATAGTAGGGTATATAGGGTATATATCAATGATCTGCCAAAAACCATAGATGGACCTTGCGTATTGTTTGCAGACGACATCTCGCTCCTCACCTCGTGCCAGAATATTACCAATTTAGACAAAAACTTAAACAAAACATTAGACAAAACCGTAAATTGGATGAAAAACCATAACCTCGAAATATTTTTTCCAAAACTAAAATTATGTCCTTCCACCCTTATCAAAAATCCCCACTAGATATAAATTTTACATATAATAGTTCAAAAATAGAAGTAGTCCCCGAATTTACCCTATTAGGCCTGTCAATTGACACACACATCAATTGGAAATCTCACATAACGAAATTAAGATCTAAAATCTCTAAGTTCACATATGCCTTACGCGAAGTTAAAAAGACCACCGACCTTCAAACAGCTCTCACCACTTATTACGCATACGCTTATTCCTGGTTTAGTTCCGGTATCATATTATGGGGTAACAGCACAGATGCTCCAACACTCTTCACACTTCAAAAAAAACTAATTAGAATTCTGGTCAATATAGAGGACACCGATAGCTGTAAACCATACTTTAGAGAACACAACATTCTAACACTGCCATCAATTTATATTTTGGAAATATGTAAATTCGTACGAAAAAATCAACATCTGTTTACAAAAAGAGAGGATAAACAAAAAAACTACACACTACGCCATAGGACTAGACTAAACCTACCCTCATCCCGACTCCAAATCCATTCAAATAGCACTCAAGTAATGTCGATCAAAATTTACAATAAATTACCCGAAGAAATTAGAAATGAACCCATATTAAATATATATTTAAATAAATTAAAACAATTATTACTACAAAAATGGTATTACAGCGTCAATGAATATCTGAGCAATCAATAAATTAAGCATGTACATAAAAAACTGAAGTATGATTATTGTTATTAGTTTGTATTATCTCTCCCTGTCTCATCTATTGCTGTGCTCGACAGGGTCCATGATGATCTGATCATAATATATTTGAGTACCATCTAAGTAAACATTGTGGAATGCAATAAATATATTGAGTATTGGTAGAGAGAGCGTCAAGTACCTGGAGGCCGGCGTCGCAGGCGGCGCGCGCGGCGGCCACGAAGTAGGCGCGCGCCATGCGGCACTCCAGCGCGCTGCTCAGCGCCACCAGCGCGCGCTCCGCCTCGCCCGTGCCCGCGCCCAGCGCGCCCAGCGCCGGCTGCAGCCCTGCGCACACCCGCTCACATTAACGCTGGCAGTGCCGCCGAAGAAGCGAGAGGCGTATTTCCAAATATAATTTGGTCGTAACCGCCCTTAATCGGTCACATTGAAATTAAAAATAAATATGAAAAGTCTATGGAAGGAAATTCTTTTTCTAAAATTGTCCATAACAATTTACTTAGTCTTTACCTGACAGCGTCAAAAGAGGGTAATTTTTTCGAGTGTATGTATATTTTATTTTAGCACGCTCTGTAGCCTACGCGGTTTAATGGATTTTGGCGTCTGACTTCGTTATTACTTAATTCATGGAATTTGCTTAGCATTTTATTGTAGAATCGCACACCCTGACATCGAAAAGACTTAGTTACATTTTGTAGTCTAGTCGTTGGTAACACGAATTTAACTTTATTTCTAGTATTTATTTTATGAATGTCGCTAAACTTTGTGAATAAACGAATATTTTTCTTTACATACACTAAATTTTCATATATATTTTGACAGCTGTCATCATACTAAATTCTTTAAACTTTTCCCTCAGTGACTGCCTGTAACTGAGATTATAAATTGCGCGATTATAAATAAAATCTCTAAAAAGCAATTGATTAATTGAAGCGATTGTTGCTTCTGCAAAAGTTTGGTATCTGCAATCAATATACTACTACATAATTCTTTAAAAAGTTTAAAATGTCATTAGAAGACACTAGATACAAAGTATAAAAACCTGTAGAAACTTTTAAAACGTTCCTAGGCCTTTCGGGTTCCTAATTTTTAGATAGAATATCAAACGAATTTCAAATATTTAATTTTTTTTTTAAATAAGTAGTAATTCTTCTACACTTAAATGGTTATTTATTAATAGCTATCTTTGCCAGGTCACGAAACGTACCTGGATCATTAAACAACTGCGGAGCTCCTCGGCTGAGTACGGCGAGCGCCTGTCGCACGGCGACTACGGCCCGTTGAGCGTTCCGTAGTTCAGCGGTCAGTACGTTCTCTCGGGACACCTTGCACGATAGATAGTAGTGCACCATCTGCAACCAAAAGGAACATAGTAATCGATCGGAACAAAAGTACCCTAACAATAAAGTACTAATTTACTTTTTAGTACTAATTTATTACTAAAGAAAAAAACTTACATTTCAGAAAAATTGGCGGTCAAAAAAAAGCTTTACCTATTTTTATTTTTCTCTTTTAGGTTAAGGTCTTATTATTAAATAAAGAATCTATGGCATTCTCCTATGTGAGAGACTAAGGGAGGAGTATTGTCTTTGGCTATTAATATATAGATGGTGAGACTCACATCGACGGGCAGGTTGTGCGGCGCGTGGTGCGCGAGCGCGGCGGCGGGGTCCTGGCACGCGTCGGCCGCCGCCACCGCGCCCGCCGCCAGCAGCGCGCCCGCCAGCCAGCACACCACCAGCGCGCCCAGCGCGCCCACCTGCAACCGACCCACACACGATCTTATTAGTCCGTTGTTATCACAGTTCAACGGAGAAAACTCACGGGATAACAATAAATTTTACAGTTTAATACAAAGTGGTGGATGTTCCGTGTAATAATGAATGTTTCTTAGTGAATAGTGAAACATAGAAAGGTAGTGTAACATGGTGAGTGCCGGTACATACGCATAGCAGTAGCAGGGCCCGTCGCGAGCGCCTGGCGGCTGCTGCGAGCAGCGCTACGCAGACGGCGCCGCCGCAACACCAGCCCGCCATGCCGCCAGCCCATCGCGCCGCCTCCCACACCCACGCGCGCTGTTCGACACACGTACACGCTCACAATCGTAACATATACAGGTCAGGATACACATAACGAAACATCTCAGATAAATCTTCACTAAAAAAATATAAGATCATTTCGTTTTTCATTTTCACAAGACAACAAATTAAATAAAATTCTAATCTAACCTTCATAAAAGCATCAAGATTCAACTTGGCCAGTGGCTGTCTAAGATGGTCAGCTGCTGCAGCGGCTGCGCTTGCATTGTTTCTCAACGCAGAGAGCGCTCGTAACAATGTGCCCAGTGCGGTCTGGTTGGCCACTGGCGCGTCTAGAGCGTCCGCCAAGCGAGCTAGAGGAGCGCGCGCACGAGATCCCATTGCCTCTTCTAAAATGCTTGACTGTAACGAAAATAAGTGAGTTAATAAGAGATAATTTTACCTTCACAAGACAATTAAACATACCAACGAAGACACTTACTATAGCATAAACTATTAAATATGATCAAACAAAGTGCATTTAGGATCGGTACTAAGGCCTATCGAGCCCGATAACACTGACGGTAGTGAGTAGTATTATTAAATGCATTACCACTAGGTACTTTTCATCATAACTAAGGAAAAAGAAACACTATAAAATTTAACACTAACCTGGTTCTTAACAGTATTGACCAGTGCAGAGAGCTGGTTGCCGGCCTGGATGCTTTGCAGCATCGCATTATGTAGGTCATCGTTGCCAAATAATCCAACACCGATAGCACCGCAACACAGCACGGACAGGATCATTAGAGTTATCTGGAAATTATAGAAATACAATAAAATTAACCACTGTCTATGGTAAAAATTACAACGAACGTTGGGGTTCAGTTTAGTAAAAAGGGATTCCTTCCCACCTCTCCGACTTTCTCATAACATTACCTCCATAGTGCTTTATTATTGACATTTAACATAAGTTACTAAATATTACATACTTTGGTTACCTAGAGATAGACTTGTGAAGAAATAAAATGCACGATTAGTTTACTCTTAAACAAAGGAACTTAAAGCTTTATTGAGGGAACAAACAAAGGGAATGCTTCACTGAGTACATTCAATTTTGTTTAGACTAACGATCATAGAAATATTTATGTTAGACGAATCAAAGAGATCAAAGCCCATAAAGTTAATGTTCTATATATCATAATGTACAGGGTACAGGGTCATTGGTAGAATAACCATGAACCGACTTTGAAAGTTCGGACATTTTCTTATTTCTTTAACGTCAATATTTGTGTTTAGCTATTTTCTTTTGGAGTTTTTCTATTTACTTTCAATGAAATGAAAACTTTGTATATACAATTATTAAAAGTAAAAATTTCAGAAATTTCAAGCGCAGGGAATCTGATTGATATAATTAGAATGCAGAGCTCCCAAAGAGAAAATGATTAGTAAAAATGTTTTATTTGTATTGTTATGTGTTACGTTACATTATTTTTATAAGTTTCTATTTATATCCCCGTCTTCTAGTTAAACACAACCAGTAATTAAAAAAAAAAGTTATTTCAGACTTTGTTCAAGCGTGCTTTCAACGGTTTTCAGAACATCAACTTCGCAAAACATAGGCACTACATCCTTGCAAATATCATGCCATTCGGCGTGTAATTAAATGTAATCGCTAATAGGTTTACGATTTCGTAACACACGTCTTTGTTGTAACGATATAAAGTTAATAAGAAAAACATTCAAACAACACTAGTTCTCGCACACATGTTCGGAACGTCCTGTGAAAATTATTTTGATTGTCTTCGCAGTCTCTACATTTAGATCGAGGATACCCTCGGGGCGTACATGAATTGTTCAACATAAGTTAAAACAGAGAAATTTACTGCGACAGCTGACGTCGTAATGATCTAGACTAGTTTTAACTCAAAATTACACGTGTTAGTAAGCAAATGTTTCATTGTTTTAAAACATACGTATTTGTATGTGTGTTTGAGTAGAGGTAACTAACTAACACTTAAAGTAAGGACTACAATATGATTGATTACTACTATACCAGTCGTAGAGTGGATATTTTGATAATATTTAAACATTCTTATATCACTAAAATGGATCGCGAACTACCAGAACCCTATTATTATGTACTGCATCGAGGTTCACTGTTAATAGTCTCGTTCCTCTAATTTAAAAATTAAAGTTACGAGTGTTGAACCTCATATCATCTGTAAGTATGAAAGCTCAGCCCTGCAGCTTCTGGATACGTCAAAAGGCTTAACTTGGTTGGATTTTTTTAGATTCATCAACAAATTGCCTTCACTGACCTTCAAAGCAGTGATACTTCTGGGTGGACGTTGTTTCCTGTCGCAGCATCTCGTCAGCAGGTATATAAGCAGCACCGTAAGAGTCAATATCAGCCACGCGCCCGGTATCGAACCAAGAATACCCAAGCTCTGAAATAAAGAAAAGAAGCATTTAAATGATGTCGATTCGTTTTTTTTAATACTGGATATAGTTAAAGTAGAGGATCGGTTATGTAACTTCACATTACGACCTTTAGGAGTATGTAGTTACCACACACGCATAAAACACAACAGCTAGTGTGATATAATATAATTCAACAGTGTGGTGACGGATTAAAAATACAGTGTCGCCACCCCTATTCATCCTTTGAGTGTCGTAAGAGGCGACAAACATACATAGACATTTTTGTACTAGATATACAATTATTTTATAAACATGTTCTCTGATAGAGAATCTTCATAACACCCCAAATAGTGTAAGTTATCTTTTGTTAGATATAACAGCATTTATTTTCCTTTTGTTCATCCGTGTGGTGACGGATGAAGAATACGGATAGTCACCATCCCCATTCATCTCGTAGAGCAAGAGCCGACTAAGGGAGCAAACTACGCAGAAGAACAACACTGCACTGGGTTGGTATAGAACCCGTTTGGCCAGCGTGGTATAGTAGGCAAAAACGTCCTTTTTAAGTAGAGGCCCATGTCCAGCAGTGGACTATTAAAGGCTGTTGATTTGATATGATGATTACAGTTTTAATGAAGCGCACCTTGTAGGCAGTGCATATGTAATTAGATGTCTCTAACAGACATATAGGAATAAATTAGAGTTACAACACAATCAAAGAACAGAATACATAATAGTTTACAAGGTTGAACAATAAACAGGGCTAAAGGTGACGATACATAACTACTTACTGAATGCATTACAGTACTGATGTATTATTGAACAGGTGACAACAATTGTTTTATATATATGGACACAATAGAATAACGCAAAAGATGATAATAGTTACTTCCTTTTGTTTACTATTTTTTTAATATAAAGGTAAGTATATAAACATTGTACTCAAATTTGTTAGCAAACAAATTTCTTGTCTTAATATATTCACGGGATGTATAATCTAATCTTTTTTCTGGGCCTAGAGGGCTTTGGTTGTAGTATATTACATGTATATTGATTGTATACCCAAGGCGAAGTTAATAATAAAAGATCAATGAGTTTTTATTGTCTTGTTCTTTTTAATTGCTGCTATTGCATTGCGAACCTGGTACTAAATATATAATTACTAGTTTGGGTAATAGTTGTGCTGGTTAATAGATACTACACATTGCTTTGAATTGCCTGAAGTTTTGATCAAGTTGCACTGGTCATGGTCACAGGCAGACTGGCTCATGTATATTGTGAAACGCGAAACTTTAAAAGGTTTAAAAACTATAAACGAAACCGTTCAAAAGTGTTCCCCGGTAACGCAGATGAATAAACTTACAAAAGTGTTACTTACCTCTAGATAGACAGGCGAATTGGGAGCGAAGGTGTCGTTGACGCGATGGAGCGTCACGTTGATATGCGGCAGCGAGTGCAGCAGCCGCGAGAGACGCGGCGGCGAGTACTCGTCCGAGACGGCCGGCGCGCCCATCGCGACTTAACACGATCACACCTGGAGACACACAAATAATAACATCAATACTTATCTACCGTACTAAACTAAACACAATGCAACTAGTTTATGCCAGTCTCAAGACTTATTTTTCCAATAGCTTTTGAATAGTGTTGTATAAATGTCGTTAATCGAAGACGTTTCATATGAATGAATAACGTAAGTACTCGTAAGAATAAGCGAATGGAATGTCTACATCTAACTTGTCAAAATCAAAATCAAAGTCTAATCAAAATCATGTCGGAATACATCAACCTTTTCACAAAAAAATCATCCGTTATTACTTGGCTTTGAGCATTTCTATATCTATTTAGAACCGTGAATATTTAACCATAAGAGCAGTGTGGTGAAGGATTAAGAATACGAAATGTCACTACCCCTATTCATCCCGTGCGTGTCATTCCAGAGCCGACTAAGGGAGTAAACTACGCAGGACGACAGCACTGTAAAGAGAAGAAAAACTTGAAACAAACCCTATACCAACCCGTCTGGCCAGCGTGGTATAGTAGGTCAAATAATAATAATAATAATAACAACAACAACACACAACAACACACACACACGAGCAACACTTACCTACATCAGTCGGAATTTCTTCACATTTTCGAAATAAACAAGTTTTCTATACATTTACAATCCCGTACAATCATTAAAAGCTATTAAACTGTATTGAAATGGATCCTTTTTATAAAAATATAACACAAAACCGTTTTAAATAAATAATATATATAGATATATGTTGATAGTAAGACATGACGTTTAACGTCATGTCAAAATACAAAAAATATTGAAAATGAAAGAAATTAGAAATTCGACTAGAAAATGTTAACCCGAGCTAGATCCAGAGCACTGACAACATCCCCGGACTCGTCGCTCCGCTCCGTCTTGCCGTCCCCGGAAGCTACAACAGAAGTTCCGGCCGTGGCTGAGGCGTCGAGCTCAACTTCAGGCGACGAGTTTTTCTCTCCGCCGACGTCGCCAACACCTGTACGTCGGCAGGGGAGAGGCCGGCCACCGACCAGCTTGGGATCCCGAGGACTACTGACCTCGAACAGGGTCCCCGCTACCGGTGGTGATGTGCGCCGCATGAAGTGGACAAAGTCTATTAATGAAAATGTCATGCGGGCATATTATCGGGCTACAGAGGTGGGAACGAACCTTACTGCGTACCGTGTTCGACTAGTCTCTTTGTTTCAGAAGCTTGAACCAGCTGTCAACGTATCAGCACAACGATTGTCGGATCAAGTACGAGCTATACAGCGCTGTCATCTGCTGGATGATGCAGTACTTGAGAGGATACGCTCTGACATACGGAATAGCTTAATTATCCCTTCTTCGTCACACACTGTGGATTCGGTAGCCAACAGCACACCTCAGTTGGCATCATATACTGATGATATTGATGAACTAGTGGAGAGTGAAGTTATATCCGTAAGTACCCAATACAATGATAGGATAAGGAGTGCTTTGGAGGATGCGATTCTGGAATACCGATATTTAAATTGCAATGATAGGCCCCGGTTATTCCGTTTGCCCATTCATAAACGAAATTTAGCGCTGGTGGGTGCCCTGGATTCGTTATTGCCTGAATATTTAGATAATAGCGAAGATCTTAGTGATACACATTCTATTCTATATTGTGCGGCTATTGCAGTTTGTCGAGTAGCTGGTGTTAAAATAGCTAACAATCTCACTACTACTCGACCTAAATCTACTGTACCAGCTTGGCAGTATAGAATTGAACGTCGTATTACTGAGACCAGGACACTCATCGGTAAGCTTATTAGCTACCGATCAGGGAATATGCGGCCGAGAGTGATGCGCTTTGTGAAACAGGCATTCTTGGGGACTACCATTAGTCCTCAGCAGTACATGTCATGTGTCACAGAGCGCATAGACTTTCTAAAGCAGAAAATTTATGCATGGGCAAATAGGATAAGACGGTATAAAAAACGAATAGATCGGTATAATCAGAATCGGATGTTCCAAAGAAATGAGAAGTGGGTGTACCGGAAATGGGAGGAACCGGATCCATGTGTGGGTGATAGGCATTTGCCAGATGAAAATGTCACAAATACATTTTGGCGTAACATCTGGTCGGTGCCTGTCACTCATATAGAAGGTGATTGGTTGCAGGATGTCAGACGCTCATGTGAGTCTATAACACCTATGGAACCTGTTAAAATTGATAAAGATGATGTAAGTTGTGCAGTTCGTTCATTACCGAATTGGAAATCACCTGGTCCAGACGGACTGCACAACTTTTGGCTTAAGTGGTTCCGAAGCTCACATGCGCGTTTGGCATCTCAATTCCAGGCAGCTTTGGATTCGGGTTCATTACCCCAATTTTTAACCACTGGCATAACCCACTTACTCTATAAGTCTGGTAGTGTCATGGATCCCAAAAATTTTCGACCTATTACATGTTTACCTACCATGTATAAACTTCTAACATCTATTCTGAGACTCAAAATTACTTTACATATTAATAATAATTCGATTATGTCAGTTTCTCAGAATGGATGTAGAAGTGGGACCCGTGGCACTAAAGACCTCCTTATCATAGACATGACCATTAGCCAACAGGTACGTTGTAATCGTAAGAGTTTGGCGACGTGTTGGATAGATTATAAGAAGGCTTATGACTCGGTTCCACACACATGGCTTTTGAAGGTGCTGGAGTTGTATAAAATTGATACAACTCTGTGCACTTTCTTGAAGTCATGTATGGGGCAATGGAGAACGGCACTTCGCTATCCAGGATGTCGGCAGACAGCGATACACGATGTACTAATAAAGATCGAGCGGGGTATATTTCAAGGTGATAGTCTGAGTCCCTTGTGGTTTTGTCTGGCTTTGAACCCTCTTAGCACTTTATTAGAGGGTTCAGGGTTAGGCTATAGGTTGCAGAAAGATGATCAAGTTATATCTCACCTTCTTTATATGGATGATTTGAAACTGTTAGCCTCCAACAAATTACAATTGACAAAGTTACTAAAGGTGACGGAAAACTTTAGTAATTCTATCAAAATGGAATTTGGTGTAGACAAGTGTGCAGTCATGTATGTAAAGAAGGGTGTGATAGTTGAATCTGAAGGAATAGAGCTTTTGGATTCAACAAAACTCAGATCTCTGTCTGCCACTGAAACTTACAAGTATCTGGGTATATCACAGTCGTTGGGAATACCAGAATCTAACATGAAACAAACATTGCAGGAACGCTTTTTTGGCCGCTTGAAAAAAGTACTTAAAAGTCTTTTATCAGGGGGCAACAAGGTGCGAGCCTGCAATGGTTGGGTCATGCCGGTTCTAATGTATTCCTTTGGTATACTTAGATGGACTCAGACCGAATTAGATGCCCTTGACAGGAAAGTCCGCACACTGCTGACTGCATCCCGAATGCACCACCCACGTTCATCAGTTATGAGATTGTATATCCCGCGAAAGCTTGGGGGTCGCGGTCTATTAAATATCAAGACCCTACATAATCGCGAGGTATGCAATCTCAGAGAATATTTTCTACATACCGACGTGGGAGTGCATCGCAATGTAGTTGCAGTGGATACCGGCTTCACCCCGCTCGCTCTGGCTAAAGAGAATTGGCGCAGACCTGTAGTACTTGGTGTTAATGATCGCAGGGAAGTATGGAAGGGCAAAGAGCTCCATGGTCGGTTTTATCGGGCCCTAAACGGGTCCGATATAGATTTAAAAGCATCTACGACTTGGCTACGGCATGGTGATCTCTTTGGAGAAACTGAAGGTTTTGTTTGTGCGATTATGGACGAAGTTATCATGACGAATAACTATCGGAAATATATCCTGAAAGATGGTACGGTTGACATCTGTCGGGCATGCCACCGTCCTGGCGAATCAATCAGGCATATTATTTCTGGTTGTTCTCGTCTTGCTAACGGAGAATATTTGCACAGGCACAACCAAGTAGCCAGGATCGTACACCAACAGCTTGCCCTTAAATACCATCTTGTGAATCTAGAGGTGCCATACTATAGGTATGTGCCCGACCCAGTTCTCGAGAATGGTCGGGCCACGTTGTATTGGGATCGATCTATTATCACAGACAGGACTATTGTTGCCAATAAGCCTGATATTGTGTTGATAGATCGATTAGAGCGCCGCGCAATGATTGTTGATATCGCCGTTCCTCATGACGAGAATCTCGTGAAAGTTGAAAAAGAAAAACAAATTAAATATTTGGATTTATCTCACGAGATTGTCGATATGTGGAATGTTGATTCAGTGATCATTGTTCCGATAGTCGTATCTGCTCATGGATTGATAGCCAAGAGCCTCGACCAACACCTTAAGAGGCTCACGTTGGATGGCTGGATCAAGGGTCTGATGCAGAAGGCAGTCCTCCTTGACACGGCTCGTATAGTGAGGAGGTTCCTATCTTTGGAGTCCTAACCACCGGTGTCTTGGTCCCTGTACCCGATGTCGGTGGTCTACTATTTTTTATATTTTTAAATGTATTTTTTTATAAACTGTATATTTAAAAATGTAAATAATATGTATATAAAGTAAATAAAGAGAATAATAATAATAATAATCTTTATTTACCAGAAAAAATACAGATATGGTTTGTGCATAAAAAGAACAACAGATTAGATTGTAATTACAGTAGTACATTGTACTTAGTCCTTAGTTGCTACGAGTATAATCTGTACCAAAAATAATAACGCTATCTCTTAAACTAGGTATTCCTGTATTTTAAGAGCTAGTGTCAGGCTATCAGTTTACACTAAAAGAATTATACAACAGATTGGAAGCAGTGTTGATCTTTCATTAAGGCAAGCAATTTTTAATCTATTTTATATAATATAAATATTTTCGATTTGTATGGATATATTTATGGTGTGAGTGTATGTGTGTGGGTGTGTGTTGTGTGTGTATATGTGTTGTGTGTGTGAATGTGTGTTTGGGGGGGTCATGAGAGGTATTTTAAAAGAGACTCTGTTTGG